GCACTCCGGGCGGGGACGCAGGCTGGCGCAGGTAGGGTGGCACGGCGGGGCGCGGGTCGGGGCTTCCCCCCCTGCCGTGGCTTCACCCCTCACCTTGCCGTCCCCCCACAGCTGGGACCCTCCTGATCGTGAAGAATTACACCGGGGACCGGCTCAACTTCGGGCTGGCGCTGGAGCGGGCGCGGGCGGAGGGGGCTGACGTGCACATGGTGGTGGTAGGGGACGACAGCGCCTTTGCTGCCCCGAAGAAAGCTGGCCGCCGCGGGCTGTGCGGCACGGTCCTCATACACAAGGTGCGTAGGGTGCTGCTGATGCCCAGGGCCCCACCGCATCCCTGTGGGGATGTGGGATTTTGGGGAATGGGGCCCAGCGGTCCCTCACCCACTGCTGCCCTTTGCAGGTGGCAGGGGCCCTGGCCGAGGCAGGGGCGAGCTTGAACGAGATCGTCGAGAAGGTGTCGGTGGCTGCCAAAGCCATGGGTACGCACACGGGGCTCCTTGCTGCCCTGTGGGGACCCCCAGGGGTGCTGTGCCTTGGCCCCCAGCCCTGTACCCCCATCCCTCTTGGCAGTTTGCCCTCAGGGGCAAATCCCTTAGGCTTAACCCCATCTTCCCTCCCCACGCAGGTACCCTGGGTCTCAGCCTGTCCCCCTGCAGCGTCCCGGGCTCCAAGCCCACCTTCCAGCTGGCTGACGATGAGATGGAGCTGGGCCTGGGTGAGGAGCTGCCTTCCTGTGTCCCCGCCATTGCCCCAGCAGGGGCTGTGTCCCCCCCGTCCCCCCCGTGGGGCAGGCATCGCCCGGTGCGGGAGGTGCCCGCAGCACGGGGTGATGCCACCCCATCTCCGCAGGGATCCACGGCGAGGCGGGCGTGCGCAGGATGAAGGTGAGTGGGGCCCTGCCGTCCCGCCCCCACCTCCCACTCCCCCCAGCTCTGCCACGGACCCCTCCAATGCCTCCCGCCTGCTCCTGAGCCCCGGTGAGCCCCCCTGGCCCTCCGTGGACCCCCCAGACCCCCTGGGTGGGGGTCTCATTCTGCTCCGTACCCTGCAGGAGCCTCTGTGGTGCTGGTGGTGAACAACCTGGGTGGGCTGTCCTGCCTGGAGCTGGGCATCGTGGCTGGTGCGGCCGTGCGCCGTCTGGGTGAGTGCAGAGGGGGTCTTGGGGCACTATTCCCTGCCTCTGGCCCTTCTCCTCCTTCCTGCAACCCCCTCCTCACTCACGGCGCCCCCGCTGTGCCCGCAGAGAGCCGAGGCGTCCACGTTGCCCGGGCTTTGGTGGGTTCCTTCATGACGGCACTGGAGATGGCCGGGGTCTCCCTCACCCTCATGCTGGTGGATGAGGAGCTCGTGGGGCTGATCGGTGAGTGCCCACCAGTGGGGATGCGGCACGGGGACAGCCAGGACACCAGGGCAGCGAGGTGTCCCGAGGTGCTGGCTGCCTGGCTGCCTGTGCAGGCAGCGCTGCCGGACATTTTGGCAAGGATCCGGCAGGGTTCTGCTGAGCTGGCACTCACTTCTTTCTCACCTCTTGCTGCTCCAGATGCCAAGACCACAGCCATGGCTTGGCCCAACCTGGCCGCGGCACCTGCCACGAGCAAGAGACAGGAGGTGCCGGCACCGAAGGAGGGACCAGGGACCGCGCAGCATGAGACCAGCACGGGTACGGGCAGCCGCAGGGAGCTCGAGTCCCCCAGGCGCTGTCACCTCCCCGTGCCTCGGTTTCCCTGTCTCCCCCGGGGACGGGCAGGGGTGACGTCTCCTCCGCCCAGGGCCTGACGCAGTGCGGGTGCAGCGGATCCTGGAGCGAGTGTGCAGCACCCTGCTTGACATGCAGGACAAGCTCAACGAGCTGGACCGCTCAGCGGGTGACGGGGACTGCGGCCACACGCACGCCCGGGCTGCCCGAGGTGGGTGCTGGCACCCTGGGGAGTGCCATCGGCAGGGGACTTGTGGGGAGAGGGCACCCCAGCCATCCCCTCCCAGGAGCAGGGGCTTCCCGGGGCCGTTCCTTCTCAGGGAGCAGGGAAGCCCAAGCTGCCCTGGGTCCTCGGCTGCCCCCAGGGGAGGTGGGGGTCCCCAGGACCCCGTGGGTCAGCCGAGGGAAGCATCCCAGCCCGTTCTCACCTCCATCCCTGCAGCCATCCGGGAGTGGGTGCGTGCCCGGCCGCCACCGGCAGCCCCGGCCCAGCTCCTCTCCGCCTTGGCCGACCTGCTGCTGGAGAAGATGGGTGGCTCCTCTGGTGCGGTGAGCGCGGGGTGAGAGGAAGGGGCGTGGGTCTGGTTTGTCACCCTGTGGGACCCTGGCTGTGCCACCACCGCGGGCGGTGACGGGGATGGTGTCCCGGCAGCTCTACGGGCTGTTCCTGACGGCAGCTGCCCGGCCCCTGCTCAACCGCAACGACCTCCCGACGTGGGCTGACGCCATGGATGCCGGCATCGAAGCCATGCAGCGGTGAGTGCCGCAGGCTGCGGGACCCCCAGAACCCCCAGTCCCTCTGCAGGACCCTGACCACCCCCTGCACCCCACGCAGGTACGGAGGAGCTGCGCCGGGGGACAGGACCATGGTGAGTGCTGGCATCCCAAGGGACGGGGAGCAGAGCCACCTCCCCGGGAGCCGCAGGGGCCCCCGGCCTGGCCGCAGCCCTGGCTCTTAGCCCCGTCTTTCCCAGCTGGACTCGCTGTGCGCTGCGGCGCAGGCTCTGCACGCCCTGCGCAGCCCCGGTGCCGACCTGCTGCCGGTGTTGGCTGCCGCCGTGGAGGTATGAGGCAGGCAGACCCAGAGCTGGGCTGGCAGGGGACGGGGTGGGAATCACCGGCTGTCCCGTCCGCGTCCTGAGCGCATCCCATTTTTCCCCGGCAGAGCGCGGAGGCCGCGGCGGAGGCCACCAGGCAGATGGAGGCCGGGGCGGGCAGAGCCAGCTACATCAGCTCGGCTCAGCTGCTGCAGCCCGACCCCGGGGCAGTGGCGGTGGCGGCCGTGCTGCGGGCAGTGCTGGAGGGGCTGCGGAGCTGAGGCATGGCCAGCCCACCCCCCAGAGCTCCGGCGGTGACGGGGGATTTGGCAGCACGCCCCACATACCCCCAATAAACCTTTGTGGTCCCCCTAATCTGGCCCAGAGCATCCATCCCCGTAAAAGGGACGGGATGGTGGGGATGCACCCGGTTCATCCAGGACATGTCCCCAAGCGAAGGGGGACAGGAGCAGAGATCCAGCTGGGTCCTGTGCTCCAGCATGAGCACGACTGCTAGGGAGGAAGGAAGCTTCTGGGCCAGCCATGAGCCCTCCCCAGCGGGTGCTGAGAGGGGAAACCACAGGGCTCACATGGCTCCAGGCACGGGGCCTGGAGGAAGCCCTGGAAAAAGCACAGGGGATGGGACACAGCCTTCCCTGGAGCACGGGGTGGCTCCGAGCTGGGGCCAGGGCGTGGGGTGAGCAGGGGGACCGGCCAGTGTGCGCCCAGGCTGCCAGGGGAGGTGGTGGAGGGGAAGGTAGGAGCCAGCGCTGACAAGCCAGGCCCTCAGAGGGGACCCCGCCCCCAGGCAGCATGGCTGGGCTCAGCCAGCACCGGGATCTGCTCCCTGGGCACCCACCTCTCCCACCCCAGCTGCTGGGGTCCCCCTTGTCCCCAAGGACGCGGCTGCAGGAGCGCTGCAGAAGCCAGCGGTTTATTACGTGTCCACAAGAGCCCCAGGAGGCTGCTCGGCTGGTCCCGCCATCCAGGGCGGAGGGAGAGGTACAGGCGGCCCGATGAAGGGCAAGGCACGGTGCGAGGATCCCCCCTGTCCCCCGCACAGGAGAGGGTCCTGGGGCGGGGGCAGCAGCGCTGCCAGGCACAGCGGGGCTCCTCCGGTGGCTTCTGACCCAACGAGGCTCTGACAGCTCCGGCTGCTGCGTTGAGGGATGGCGCTGCGGGGTCCGGGGAGGGCTCGAGGGCAGCCAGTTTGGCACGGACCGAGGTCCAGGCGCAAGGGGCCAGCTGGACCCAGTGGGAACTGGCAAGCAGAGGCCCGAGGATGCAGGCAGGAGCATCACGGCAACGCCAGGCCACAAAAGAGGCAAAGAGATGTCCTCACCGCAGCAACATCTTTGCCTTAAGGGAGCTGAGCCCGTTCCTCCTGCGGGCAGATGAGCGTCAGGCGCAGGCAGCGGGAGCCCCGGTGAGGGCAATGCGACGGGCTGAGAGCAGGGCAGGCAGGGAAGCGACGGGGCTGCTGTGCAGGCGTCAGCGCTCGGCGGTGAGCAGGGGCTGCGGGGAAAGCGTGGGTGAGCCGGGTGCCTGCAGCCCCCTGCCCGGCCCCCCGGGGCTGTGGTGGGAGGCAGGTCCCCCAGCTCAGCTCCCCAAAGCCACCCTGCGACCCGGCGGGTCCCCGCAGCAGAGCTGGTACCTGGCGAGAGTCCGGGGAGTCAGCGTCGGGGCGCTTCCAGCTCGGCCTGGCCAGGGCACCCAGCACCAGCACCCCAAAAAGGAGGATCAGGAGCCCCAGCGTGTTGGCAAAGACAGCCTCAGCGGGCAGGCGCTTGTACTCTGTTGTCCCATTCTTCCTTGGGAGAAGAGGGGCCAAGAGCTTTTCTGGATGTGCCCAGCCTTCCCCTAAGCCCACGCAAGCCTGTACCCACCCTGCAGCAGGGCGTTGTGCAGGTTAACTGCGCACCTGAGGAGGGAATGGCTTACTTCCCTTCGCCACCCTGTGCTCGGTTTCACTCGATGCCACTTCTGGCACCAAACCCCCCCTAGGCCTCCCTCCCTGCAAGGGCTCTCCCCACGCCTGCCGCGATGCTCACAGGCTGAAGAAGAGCTTCTCGTTGATGCCTGACACGCACGAGGCCACGGACAGCATGAGGATGGTGGAGCCGAAGAAGACGTGGACGGGTTTGTAGAGGGCACGGAGCCAGACAGGAGCCCAGGGCAGCAGGAAGGCGCAGAAGCCCGCGAGCCACTGCAGGGAGGGGAGGTGAGGGCGAGGAGAACAGGGGAACGGGGTGCAGGGGGCCGGGGCAGCACCCACCTGGCAGGAGAAGAGCAGCACGGTGGCCAACCCCAGCCAGCTGTGCAAGGAGTACATGTTGGGCGTCCCGTGGTCGTTGTGGAAGCGAAAAACGGCCGCCAGCCCCAGCACGGCCAGGATGAAGGCTGCCAAGGCCAGGGCGCCGTGCAGCACCTTCCAGGGGAGCTTGGGGCCGCTCCAGGTGGCGGGCAGGCGGTACACCAGGGCCACTGTTGGGTGAGAGGGTCAGGCAGGAGCCGTGCCGGGGTCACGCCGCGCCTCACGCCCCGCTCACCTGCGCCGTACAGCACCACCATGCCCGTCACCATCAGCACCGGGTGCCAGTTGAACATCTGGGTGCTGCCGTCCAAGGCGAAGCCGCCACGCCAACGCTGGCACCAGGCGGTCACGAAGGCCACGCACATGAAGCCCAGGCCACCCAGGAGGACGCAGAAGGGCATGAAAGGCAAATCCAGCATCTCCGCGACGTGATGATGGTGCCTGGGGGAGAATGAGACGTCCGCTCAGCCTCTGCCGGGGCTCTCTGCCTGCGCCGGCTCTCGCCTGCGTGCAGACAGCCCCAGGGAGGAGCCAGACTGAAAGGGGAACCAGGCACCCTGAGGAGGAGCAGCCCTGGACCAGCTGCTGCCTGGCCGGGGAAGGATGCCAGGGCTGGAGCCAGCCAGCTGGGGACGTGCAGGGTGAAACTGGCCCCTGCAGAGCCAGGTCTTTGGGCAGCACCCCAACGTGCCACCCCGGCTCGCTGCACCCCAGCGCCATGCCCAGGGAACAGCAGCAAGGGCATCCTGGTGCCTCCTGTAACCCTGCACCCCCCCCACAGGCCCCCCAGCACGCACAGCCCCCTCTACATCGTTCCCAAGAACCCACCCTCATCCCTTCCCTCCCTCTCACGCATATTTACACTATCTCCATCCCCCCAGCACCTTCAAACCTGCACCCCAGCCCCCCTTCCACCTCCCCACTGGCACCTGCACTCCCTCAACACCCCCCTGGCACCTTGTGCTCCTCCAGCTGCACCCACAGCACCACGTTCACCCCAGCTGGGTGCGAGGAGGAACCCCTATACCCTCCTCACCTGCACCCTGGCAGCCCCAGTATGGCTGCTCCCTCCTGCCTGCTCTGGGCCAGCCCTCGGGGGTTGCCACCGGGGTTGGGGGGGAAACTGCAGGCAACAGCCCCACAACCCTGCCGGGGCTGGGCAGCGGAACAGGCAGGGCCCTGCCCTCGCTGATGCCCTCAGCCCACAAGGCTCGAGCAGGTGACTGGCAGCACCGGGGCTGCGCTCATTTCCCTAATAATTTGCATCTGCCTCCAGAAATAGATATTCATGTGTCCCCCTGGGGCGGGGGATGGCCCTGTCCCCACCCAGGTCAGCCACCCCACGGGACTGTGAGGCAGGAGGTGGGTGGGATGTGGCCCTGGTGCAGCACGGGGATCACGAGCTTGGCCACCCACTCGCTTTGAGACCTTGCAATGCTCGCCA